AAAGATTGAACGTACCTTTTGGGTCAAAAAAGACATCGGATCCTAAAATTATGTCTACGGGAGCAAGAGAGAGAAGCTCTGGAGATATGCGACCCCAGGTGATGCCTACAACAGGTACATGGGGTAGGTGGTTCATCAGGCAGCTCTGCTGGGAGATTTCCAGGCACTGAGGCAGCTCCTCACTATCTGACAGCGTCACCTGAGCACCGCACTTGGCAGCCACTATTCCGGGTAGGCTGACACCTGCGCCGATCTGAAAGGACAGAAGGGAGCTGTGGATGCAGAGGGTGGGGATGTTGTGTGGGCACTGCAGCCTGAGAGCTGAGGGTCGGGAAGTAGTTCTGCAGGGAAGGGGGGATGAGATGTGCAGATGTCTGAACTGAGTGAAGCAGGGCTGCTGCTATGAGGGGACCCTGAAGCAGAAGTGGTGCACGAAGTGCAGAACGTGTTTTTATGTGTGTTTGTGTGAGCCTGCAGTTCCCTGCCACCTCTGCCCAAGCTGTGCTGGAGTGAGAAGGGCTGAGATATGATACAGAACCGATGACCGGGCTGTGACAGCGATTAGCGAGCAGTTACCTCCAGCACCCTGCGGCCGGGCAGTGTCCTCCTGTGAAACCACACGTACTGAGCCAGCACCACGGCGCAGGGCCACGCGTACATGCCATACTGCGGGTCCAGCACCTGAAACACAGGGCTGTGTCGCTGTGACTCCGTGCCCAGACCCTCTCTGCACCCTCCCGCCCCCGGGCCGTACCTCGGGGACGCGCAGCGCCAGCACCGCGCGCTCCTCTCCTCCCGCCGCGTCCCCCACGAAGCGGTACCGCCGCACGGCGCGCCGCGGCTCCCCCATGCCCGCGCCTCGCAGGCGACCAATCACAGGCGGCGACGTGTGGCGCCAGACCCCGACGGCCAATCGGAGCTTTCTCTCGGGGTGACGTCACGCGGAGCGCCGCGGGGCCCTCCGGGAACCTCTCGGTGCCTCACGCCGTGTCCGCGCCGGGTCTCCGCAATCCGCCGCGCCGCCCTTCCCAACATGGCGGTCGCGCCGCTTCCCCGCTCCGTCCAATCAGCGCCGGGGGGCGGGCGCAGCGCGGCGGAAGGCGGCCGGGCGGAGTGCCAATGGGAGCGCGGCGGGGGCGGGGCTTCGGCGGCGGCGGCGGCAAGGGGGTGAAATTTCTCGAAGGTGCGGCGGGGCCGGGGAGCGGGACGTGGGGCGGGAGCGGCGGGTCCTTAACGCCGCCATGAATCACAAGAGCAAGAAACGGATCCGCGAGGCGAAGCGCAGCGCCCGGCCCGAGCTGAAGGACTCGTTGGATTGGACCCGGCACAACTACTGCGAGACCTTCCCGCTCAGCCCCGCTGCGTGCAAGGTGCGGCGGGGGGCGGCGGGGCTCTGAGGGGAAGCGGGGGTCCTGAGATTTGGGTTGGGGTTGTGAGAGGGGCCGTGGGGAACGGGGGACGTGTGAGGGGAGGGAAGGGCTGAGGGGAACGGGGGGGTTGGGGGAAATTGGGGGGTTGGGGGGAGGCTGAGGAGAACGGGAGAGCTGAGGGGAGCGGGGTGAGGCCGAGGGGATGGAGGGGTGTGGGGGAGGTGAGCTCCGTGCAGCATTTCAGTACCTGAAGGGAGCCTGAAACGGGAGGGTAATCAACTCTTTGAAAGGGTAGATAACTGCAGGATGAGGGGAAACGGTTTGAAGTTGAGGAAGGGGAGATTTAGGTTGGGATGTCAGGGGGAAGTTGTTTGCTATGGGAGTGGTGAGGTGCTGGAACAGCTGCCCAGAGAGGCTGTGGATGCCCCGTCCATCCCTGGAGGTGTTCAAGGCCAGGCTGGATGGGGCCCTGGGCAGCCTGGTCTAGCATTAAATGAGGAGTTGCTGGTCCTGCATGTGGCAGGGGGTTGGAGATTCGTGATCCTTGAGGTCCCTTCCAACCCTGGCCATTCTGTGATTCTGTGTTCTGTGCAGAGCAGAGGCAGTGTGGCAGCTGGGTGGACAGGGATGTCCTCGCCATGCTGGGGATGGTGCCAAACGCAGCCCGAGCCGGGCGGTGTGACTGCTGAGAGCCAGAATTCGGGCTGCACCCTCAAGGAGCTTAAAATAACACGCAGGCAGTCTGATAGCCTCATGGTGTATGGAGCAAAGCCTGAGCGTGGAGTGACTCTGTGCTGGTTTAGAGCACGGCTCTGGGCTGTTTGTCCTAATAGCTGCTGTGTTCCCCTCCCTTGGTTTCGCAGGATAACGTGGAGCGGGCAGATGCTCTCCAGCTCACTGTGGAGGAGTTTGTGGAGCGTTACGAAAAGCCCTACAAGCCCGTGGTCCTGCTGAACGCCCAGGTGGGCTGGTCTGCACAGGAGAAGTGGACTCTGGAGAGGCTGAAACGCAAATACAGGAACCAGAAGTTCAAATGCGGGGAGGACAATGATGGTTACTCTGTGAAGATGAAGATGAAGTACTACATTGAGTACATGGAAACCACGCGTGATGACAGCCCGCTGTACATATTTGACAGCAGTTATGGAGAGCATCCCAAGCGCAGGAAACTCCTGGAGGACTACAAAGTACCCAAGTTCTTCACTGATGATCTGTTTCAGTATGCGGGGGAGAAACGAAGGCCACCTTACAGGTATGGTAGAATGGCAGCTGAGGTTACTTCCCATGCCTCTGGTTATTCTGAAAGAAAATTGCTTTGTATAAAGCAAAGTGGCAGCTTTGTGTTTGCTGTTCTGAAGTGCTTATAAGCCTTTAATGCACAAGAAGGGAAGAACAGATTGTGAATCAGGATTTCTCATTCTGTCACCGATCTATTTACCAGTTTCTTAATTTTTCTTCCATTTTAAATAAGTGCCAAGTGCTTGAAAGTTACAAAGATGAATTTCTTGCTGTGCCTTCCGGCCTTCAGATTCAAAATACCTCAAGATTTGCTCTTGATTTTTTCTGGCTACATACAGTACAGGGTTTCATTTAATTACAGGTCAGTCCTTGTAAGGTAAAGATCTTAAACTAGACTACTGTGAATAGTGGAGGCAACTGCTTAGCTCCCCTTCAGATGATGATGATACTGCATAATATTTTTGCATCTATCTTCAAACTTTTTTTTTTTTTTCCTATCTGATTAGAAGTCAATGGAAATTGCATTTGATTACTGAAATGAAATGCACCAACCTTATATATTGGCTCCTAGGTACAAAGTAATTTCTATTTGCATTAATACAATGCTTTCTAGTGCTATGAGAATAAGATGTAATTAAAGTCTTTACAGCCACATGATAATTGCTAGAGAATGACTTGCCCTCTGAGTGACGTGAGGTTCTGTTGTGGGTTGTTTTTTTTAATGAAATAAGACAAATATTGAATGAAGTACTAACAAATAAGAGCTCAGTTGTGTTTTTCAGGCTTTTTTTTTTTTTTTTACAAAGTTGTAGCAGAAACTTTTTATCATTGACTTCTAAGAACATGCAGTGCTGTGATCAAATGTGAAAGCACAGTGCGTGTAGTCCCTGTGAGTCTCCAGCAGTAACTGAGGTACACTGACAGAACTTCATCAAAGTTACAAGTAATCTAGATAATCTAGCTGTGACTCACACTGATACTTCTCTCCCTTGTACCCTCCACGCCCACAGACATGAGCTGAACTCCTTGCTTGTGATCATAGCGTTGTTGCACTTTGTTCTGGAAGAAGTGGGTTTGTTTGAGGCTGTTCTCGTTTTTCTGAGTGGTGTGAAAGGGCACAGCTACAGCCCTCACCTCCTGGAGTTCTCATCTCTATGCAAACGTGGATGGAGAGTATTCAGCAGTTCAACAGCTTAGTGAAAATTCAACCAGGAGCTGTGCTTTCTCTTCGTAAGAGGAAGATGTGCATGTCGTCTTATTCATGGCTGCTTCACAAAGTAGGAAGCCATTCACAAATCCAGTCATTGCTGCTAGCATGCAGTGATTGGAAACCTGCGTTGGAAAGGGGAGATGGAGAGTTTTGTGACTTGAGATACTCTCTGACCCCTGGAGCTCCTCTCATTGGTACCACGTGCCTGTCAGCCACAGGGGGGTCTGGATGGAAGAAGGCTCACATTCATGCTGCTTTAGTTTCTTCCATCTAAACAGACACTGTCTTTTCCTTTTGCTTTTTGGCAGTAAGCCTCCTGATTCAGTCTGTTTTATCTGGTGTAATAGTGCTCTTGTGCTGTTGTGTTTAAACATCTGTGACAGCTGAACTTCTCCATCAGAAGAAGTAAGCTTTAGAAATTGGGAATGAGAGTATACTCACCAAATCTTGAACAGAGAACAATCCCCATCTAGTTAAATATTGGAGTAAAAAGCCTGTTGTAAATGAACAGAAGGCATAGAAGCAAGCCAGGGTTGCATAACTTCACTCCGTTCCTTACTTGTATTGCCTTTTGTTAGTTCCTCATTGTTCTGTGCTTCTGGGTTCCATTTATGAGTAGCAAGTTTTAGAAATGGAGAAGATTAGGAGAATCCTCTTGCATGGTAAGAGCCCTGGTGCAGAGCATTGTGCCTTCATCACATTCATAAACATTGCTGCAAATATGGGAGTGCTTCTACCTTGAGGTCAGTATATACATGAAAAGAACTGTTTCTATTTCATAGCTGTGTTTCATTTTTAAAAGCTATCTTCACTGTCTTGGCTCACAGTCCTTCCTGTCACAGTTCATGTTGGTTTTTAGGTTGAACCCACATCACATCATTTGAAGATCAATGGAGAAAGGAATCAAGGTGACTCGCTTAGTTTCTAACCATATGCCAAATTAACAGCTCTAACTATCAATCTGTGTGTGAAGAAAAGAGAAAGCAGCTACTTGCTTGCTGTGTGACTGAAGGGTTGTTTGTTTGTTTTTCCTGCCATGCAGGTGGTTTGTGATGGGCCCACCTCGTTCTGGAACAGGAATTCACATCGACCCCTTGGGAACCAGCGCGTGGAACGCCTTGGTGCAGGGACACAAGCGTTGGTGCCTCTTCCCCACCAGCACTCCCAGAGAGCTGATCAAAGTGACACGGGAGGAGGGAGGTAACCAGCAGGATGAGGCCATCACGTGGTTCAATGTCATATACCCGAGGACACAGCTTCCCACCTGGCCTCCTGAATTCAAACCCCTGGAAATCTTGCAGAAGCCAGGAGAGACTGTTTTTGTACCAGGTATGTACAAATGGCTCCTGAAAGCAGATGTGGCAGAGAGAAGTGGGTTTTTAACGTGTCTGAGAAAGAAAGAATGTTTCAGATTTCTTGCAGCTCATTTCTTACAAAGGAGACTACTCTGAGCTGTTTTAGAAGGGCTGTGTATTGTGAGGCTTTCTTTGCACTGCTCAGTTATTTCTGACTGCTCTGACATACAAATGGCCTGTAGTGTAGGATTGCATGTGATATGGATGGCAAAACAAGTCAGACTTGCATTGCACAGTCATAGGACTGTGATCCTCAGCTATATTAAATTAATAGGAAAACATTAAGATGTAAAAATAAATAAATAAAGCTATTTGAGTATTAGTAACTCTCAGACCCAAAAATATTGGAGTTTATACACACCACAGCATGTTCACCACTGGATTTTGTAGCTTAGGTAGTCTGACTGCACATGGATTTTTCTTGGCTGGAGGAAGAGAACTACTTAAAGTCACTGATGCATTCCACCCACTTTTTTGTGGTTATGCTTAATCTCAAAATCAAAAGCTAAAGAAAGGTGAGAATGACATCCTTCTATCAGAAAATGGTTGTGCAATGTGTGCCTGCTGTAACTGGGAGTTGAGGTGGCCAGTGGGGTAGGATAGCGTGGGTGAGTTCAGTGCCTGCAGTCTGACCTCTGAATCTTGCATCACAGCATGTAGCTTCCATCCACATTGCCTGTCTGTGTTGCACAGCTGATTTCAGGTCAGAGGAGTACCTTGTGATTGCCTTGGCACTTAGTAGTGACTCCTCAGTCCCCCGTTAAGATTTTGTAGCTGTTGATTTCAATTAAACTCTTTCCTTATTCTTTTTTGGAGGTTGTAAGTGGGTGAGAAGAACATCGCTGTCTATTCTTAGCCTGTGCAGGGAAACAATTTGCATCTATTTTTAAATGAAAGGCTGGTCTGTAATCACAAGAACCTTGCTAATTCAGCGTGGAAAGTGTGCTCCAGCTTGACAGAGAGGGTCTCTGTGCAGCCTGGGTTACAATGGCTCGTGCTATTAGATAGGCTGTCAGTAGGCAGCGTGTTGCTGTCAGCTCAGATCTTCAGTCACTGCTTGTGAGGTAGATAATTTGGCCAGAGCATTGTGCAGCCTTCTGTAATGAGAACCTGCAGAGGAGTGGAATGAATTCTGAAATAAGGCTGAGGAAAGAAGATCTGGTGGGAGGCTCACCTGGGTTTGGCAGGCAAGGTCTGGTTTTTGCCTCTGCTATGGGATAAAGATGCATGGCAGTTGTTGGATGTGCAGCTGTGCTCACGGTGCTGTGTTTGCAGGTGGTTGGTGGCACGTAGTTCTCAACCTGGACACAACGATTGCCATCACACAGAACTTTGCCAGCTGTACCAACTTCCCTGTGGTGTGGCACAAGACAGTGAGAGGGAGACCCAAATTATCACGAAAGTGGTACAGGTGAGAGTTTTAATAACCTTCTTTTCATGTTACCTCTAGAAAACAATGAAACAAAACCATCTGATTATGTATAGTGTTACTGTTGAAAGACTAATGCTGAAATTTGAACTATGTTTAGGATCTTAAAGCAGGAGCATCCTGACTTGGCAGCACTGGCTGATTCGGTTGACCTACAGGAATCTACTGGTATTGCTTCCGATAGCTCTAGTGATTCTTCCAGCTCCTCGAGCTCCAGCTCCTCTGACTCTGATTCAGAGGTAACATATTTTTGGGGTCTATTTTTATCTAAAATATAAACCTGTCACTCATTTTACCAAGCCATGGTTGTTTATAATGGTGGCAAGTTGGATGGTTTTCAAATGGGGAGGAGAAACGAGGTCAGAGTAGGGACAGTCACAGCATGGGACTTCTCTAAGTGCCTGATGTGGTGTAAGTGCTTCAGAAAGTGCTGCCTGCCCTTACAAAAAAAACCCCCAAACCTGAATCCTTTTAGGAGCCGAAATGAATGCATCAATTGTCCCACCACAAACATACCATAGTCTGTGACCAATCTTAAAACATGCCTCTTTGTGGGTTTTAATCACTTAATTTAAAATGGATTTCACGTCTTTAATTTGAGCTGGTCTTTGAACTGTGATTATCCAGAATTGCCGAGGTACCTCTTGTGCTGAACTCACGAGGTTTCTGGGTTTCTCTAAACTCTGGTTTCATCTCTCCATGCTTCAGTGTGACTCTGGCTCCGAGACAGAGGGGATGATGCATCGGAGGAAGAAGAGGAGGACGTGCAGCATGATGGGGAACGGTGATACAACTTCCCAGGATGACTGCGTGAGCAAAGAGCGCAGCTCCTCCAGGTGACCTGATGGCAACTGCTGTTTGGTAGAACAAGGAGAGGACAATACAAGGCAGAGCTGAGATAGGGCAGATCCTCAGGATAGAGGGATGGAGAGCATTGCTCCATACAGAACGTGAAGCAGTCGGCCAGTGCTTTTAATTACTCTAAACTGATTCATAAGTTCATAAATTCATAAAAGATTCATAATTTTTTTTAAAAAGTACTTTATTAAATAGTTTTATTACTGTCCCACTTCTATTTTTAATAGAAAATATATTTATATATATTTTTAATGGGGGAGGTAGAAAGTTGTGCTCTTTAGAGAGCACACAGGAAAAGTGAACAGTTTGAGATGAGGAGCGATCAGGCCAGGCTCAGATTTGGATGCCTTGTCCAAACAAAACCTTCAAGCAGTTCTATGTTTTCTCTTATTGTCTGGATTACTTCAGTCTGGCCCACTGCTTTATCTGTTAAAGCCAACATTCAGCCAAAATACAAGATGTCTGTGTTTACTTATTTAAAAAAATAGTAATACAAACTTCTCATTGGTCAGGCTAGATGGAGAAAGTATTAACTCTGCAGAGCCAAGAACATTTGTTGTTTGGGATAAAATTAATATGGGAGTTCTGTGGAGTTGCTAAGTTATAAACAGAATCACTGGGAGCTGATGCTGCAGGGGTGAACAAACAGGTTTTCTTTGCTAAATTAAGATTTTTTTCTCACATAGAAGAGGTCTGCCACATTTTTTAGGCCAATTCCTCATGGTTTGGTAAACCAACACTGCTGTATTTGCTGCGTAGTTCCTTTGCTGAGCTGTTGGATGCTCCAGGTTGGGTGTGGTGACATAATGTGTGATCTGCTGAAGAAGGTGTGCAAGTCATTTACCTGAGGAAGTCCAGATATCTATTCTATATCCAGTGTTATGTCTGAGCTCCTTAGGATGCTGCCTGAAGAGCTGCTTGCTGCTGTACCTGCTGCCATTCAGCTGCTGTGATACACTGCTCTCCTGTTGGCAGTTGGTTGAGGTGCTGTCAAATACCCTTTCAGCAGCCAGCTGTGTTGTCAGGCAGGCAATGAGCAGCAGGATACAACAAACCATAATGCAGACCCTGTTAAAAAGTGTAAAAAAAAAATGCAGCCCCTGTGTGCACAGCTGAAAGTCCTGTGCTTTTTTCACTTCTTTGCACTTCTAATTTGCAAAAAGTAGCACCTTACCTAGAGCCAGCTCTGTCTGATGCACTGCTCTCCTTCCTGTGTGCTGGCTGCTCCTCTCTGTGAGGATGGGTGGGATTTTGGCTCCAGCACTGTGATGGTTTAGTAGATAGAAACACTTTTAAACATAAAATCTTACCTGTGGGAAGTGCGAGCATACACTCAGCCTGCACTCTGTGCTTTGTGTCCCAGTGTGAGGGGAAATGCTACAGCTGATAATGGGCAGTTGTACTTCTTTTTTTGACAGGATTAGGGAATCTTGTGGAGGCCGCAGTTACCCCTGAGAGATAACAGCACCCACCCAGAGGCAGCTGCCCATCGGAGCTCCGTTAGCAGCCAGCCAGCTCTGTCCTACCCCCCCCTTCTGCTCCTGCTCCTCACAATCCTTTTTGGTCACTTTTCTTCAATCCAAACATCAGTCTTCATTCTGTGCTGTTGAAGGTTGGCTCCTTACTAACTGAAAGGGGAATGCCCCGACTACATTCTCGTGCAATGCTTTGTCCCCTCTGCGCCCCGAGTGAGTGCACTAAAAACCCATCTGTGGGTATGGACATGCCAAGTATTTAATGGGTTGTGTAACTGGCGAGGAAGACAACGGTCAGTTTTTAAAGAACTTTTTAAAACCAGCAGGTAAACCTAGAAACCTGCCTTGCTTTGATACTGTCTTATGTTTACATGTTGTCCTGTACACTTGAGGAAAGGAACACCAGCCCTTTGGCCCAGCGGGATGGCGGCGGAGGTGGGATGGATGCTCCAAGCACTGAAGCCACTTCAGTGGAGTTGACTTCCCACCTGAAGCATCTTTTGTGCTCTTAATCTACACGTACAAGTTTGAAGTGCATCCTATTACCAGCCACGATCCATTTACCTTTGCTCTGTGCAGTGACAGAGATGCACTAGCACCTTGCCATAGGAATCTCGATGGAGCCAGAGAATCCTGGAGTTTCTTGCACAGCAAAAAACATGGGGGGAAAAGTCAGCATTTGCCAGTAATGACACTCCTTTAGGTGTAGGTGTGATGTTCAGCACTGGGCAACAACTGACAAATCTGACTCTTACGTAGCAACAACAGTTGCTGGGCTTTAAATACTGAGCAGTGGGGCCGTGGACTTGTTTGGGCCGGTGTGGTTCGTGTGTGTAAATGGCTTTCCTTTGAGGCTATGGCTTCAGAAATGTATAGAACGTACAGTGCCAATTTTAAAGGACTGGGAGGGGGGCATATTGTTGTTTGATGCTTTATACAAATGAAATGTGATGTTTTAAGTCTGTGTAGGTGCGTTTGTATCATGGCAGGTAAGCTCTCATCCCCAAGGGATTTGTTGGATCTGCTGTTCCTTTCACAGGGGCTTGTGCTGGTAGTGTCAGCAAAGAGGTCTGTCTTGCTGGAGGCGTGCTGTGAGGAAGAGATCCTTCTTTTCTACCTGCACAGTGCAGCCAGGAGCTGGCTGTGTTGGGATGCTTCCTTGAGTGCTCTCCTGAGGCCCAGGAGGTGGTGTTACATCTCACATCAGCCATTCTTTGAGAGAGGGAGGCTGAAAGCACAAGTGATGTGCATGTACTAATCCTGCATTGATGCCCAGAACTGGTAGCTGAACTAAAAAGCAGATTGGCAGCCTTAACTGTTGTATCTGCTGGGTTTGATGGTAGCTGGAATGTTGGATTTTATTTATTTTAACCCTGTCACTCTCCTGTTTAAACACTCTCTCCCTTCTTGGAGATTGGGCTGGGTCTTGTTGTGCAAGGGAACCTGAACTACATTTGGCAGGAACTCAGCTTCTGAAATTCCAGTACCAGTCAGTTAATGTAGGAGCAGTGTGTTGGTGAGGAGGGAGAGAAGGTTTGTTGGTGTTCTCCTTAGCTGTCCAGACCCCTGAATTTCTTCTAGTAACAGACATAAGTGCACATGGATATGTGTGCTCTGTAGGGCACTGCAGATTATTCCAGATTACTTCACTTTGAAGCAAACTTCCCAAACTAGTAGCGTTTCTGCCCAGGGTTGCCTTTTATTTCAAGCTCAGTTGAACAGCCAGGAGTCTGCACAACCCATGTAGTCCTCAGAGAGAGCAGGCTGCAGCTGCTGCCTTTGGAAGAATGGAGTGTGCTGTGTTTGAGGAGGCTGCCTGCCCTCCTCGGTGCTGCACAGTTGCTTTGTATGGAAGGTGCTGCACAGTTGCTTTGTATGGAAGGTGCTGCACGCTCTGGCTTGCTGTTGTGTTTGGCATGCAGAGATCAGCTTTGCCATCTTAAAGTCTTACACGTGCAGGATAGGCCAAGCGCTGCTCCACCAGAAGCACAGCAGGGAAGATCCAAAGTGCAGAGCATTCTATTCCTTCGTGCCTATGAACTCTTCATGGGGTGAAATGAAGCAGTTTCTGCTTAAAGGCTGTGTTCATTGAAGGTCCCTTACAGAAAGGCAGTGTTTGGAATGAACCACCAACACCGCCAGCTCTGCGTGATGGGAAGCAAAGCTGTGTGTGCATTGGCTGCCTGGGAACTGGGACTGCTGGGATCTCTGGTTCTTCCTCTTACAGGCTCTTGCCTCAACTGAGTTGGTGAGCTTCTGTCTTTGTTAAGAAGGGGCGATACCTACCTCACAGGGGTGTTGTGAGGCTGAAACGTGATTACTGTATAAGATGCTCTGACTTCCTTCTCCTATGAGTTTTCCAGCAATACTGAGCAAACTGAGGCTTCCTAACCAGGTGTTAGCTCTTCCTAACAGAAAACATTTGGGATGTTGTGCAGCACTTTTGGCCACCTGGTTTTCTCTGGTAGTCCTTCCAGAATTGCTGCGTGGTGCATAAATTGAGGCAGAATGAGGCTTTTTGTCTGGCCAGAATTTAACGTTTGGCATTTTGTCGCTTGCTCTAAGCAGGAGGTTCTGCTATTTTGCTAGATCAGGATTTAAAAATAATAATAAATGAAGTGGGTAAGTTAACTCTGATCAGGGCGTTGGCCTTACAGGAAGAAGGGGATGTTCTCCAGGCCCCTTCCATGCCAGAGCATAACTTAGAAGCTGCTCCTTGTGCCTGGATCCGTGCGTGTGGGAGGCTGGCTGGGGAGCACGTGTGTGCTCTTGCTTCTCCACACTTGTGCTCCTTGCAGCATTGATGTTCCTCCTAACCCCACTGCTTCTGCCTACTGTAGAGCCATGGATGTAGCAGACCCAGCCAGCCCCTCGTTTCCCTGAGCCCCACAGCAGCTCTGCTCAGCCCCGTGCTCAGCCTGTTCCATTGGGGCTGCTGGCAGCTGTGTGCTGGTTTGGGCCGGGCTTCTTGGTGTTGTGCCTGCCCTGCCAAAGGGAAGGGAGCTGTGAGCTCTGCTCCCCGATGCAGGCCTGTCTGCTCTGGGGGTTCAGGAGTAAATTAATGCCCCTTCAGAACTGTGGCGCACACAGCTCAGCACCTGCTGCTGCACAGTGCTTGGGGACAGGTGATGCTGAGGAGGTGCTGGCACACAAACCTCCCTCCCCTTTGCAGCTTGGGTGGGCTGGCTCTGTGTTGTCTTCTCAGTTACGTGCTTGGAAGGAAGACAACAACTTCTTTCATAATAAACCCAGAGCCTTTTCCTCCTCCAATCCCCAGCCATTGTGGGGTGGAAAGCGAGACTGCTGACTGAATCAGCTGAGATGCATGTGTGTGCTAATCTAATAGAAATAAACGTTGCAATAGGAAGGTTTTGGCATTCCTCTTGCAAAGGAAGGAAGGAAGAAGCAAACTGATCCATTCAGCAGTCTGCCTGAGCCCCCAGCCTTGCCACTGCCATCAGCTGCTTTTATGGCCCCGTCCAGCAGAGCTGGGATACTCTTAACTGTCTCGTTTGGATGATTGTGGTTTTGCTTTTTATTTGAAATAAAATCAATTATTTTGCATTCTCTTGTTTCTTAGTCCCTTTTTGAACTATTTTTAGTCACCTTCCGAAGATCCACACCTCTTCCTTGCAGTACGGTGGGATGCCGTGGGGCTGCCCTGGGAGCTGCGTGCTGGATGAGGGCGTTGGGTCGCTGGGATTGGCTGAAACCAAAGGCTGCAGGTAAATAAGCAGAGCTGATAGAAACACTTTGTAGGATGAAACGCTTCCCCGGCCCTCCTGCGGAGCTGCCCCTCGTGCTCAGCCCGTCGCAGCGGATGGGCGATGCTGCCCGTTCCGTTATCGCCGCTCCCTCCTCAATCCTCCTTTGTCGGCTGAGCTCTGCAGCTGCCCCTGTCCTCTCCTCCCCCTCGGAGTGCTGCGTCAAAGCGGCCTTTGTGCCGGCACAGCCGTGCGGGGCTCCAACCGGCAGAGGGCAGCGCGGTCCCGGCTCTGCCTTAACGCAAAACCCCACCGCCGCGTTCCTGCGTGGCTACGGCCGTAGGAAACGCGGCGATGGTAAAAGAAAGTGGATGTCGTGGTCGGTGATGGTTCCGGCACCGGCACCCATCCTGCCGCAACGCCTTTGCGCGGAGCTTCTTGCTCTGCTCTCGACCTACTGATGCTCCTTAGCACGGGAGCACGGCGTGCCTCGTGCTTTTGTGTCACCTCCATCTGACAAGTCAAACGTGCGTGGAAGTTTGAGCTTAAGCACGCGTTTGGGAAGGAGCAGCTGCCCGCTGTGCAGCGCTGAGCTCCAGGGCTGCCCGGATGCTCAAAGCCCACAAAACACACAGAGGGGAAGATCAGCACCGTGACCGATCGTTACTAAGAATACAGCGATCTGTACGCAAACAGCCGCTTGATAGGATTAGCGATAACGATAAATGGCAGTGAGGATCACGGATGGCTCCACTTCCTTCTCTCCCCCCTCCTCCCTTGGGGATTTAATCCGTCTTTCTTTTGTTTTCAGCCGCTCAATACAAATATTCCGCTCCCAGAGAGTTCCCCGAAGCCTTTTCCCCGGAGGAAGCTCAGTGGGCTTCCCGTGTCTGCACCCGCCGTGTGCAGCGTGGAGAGCTCAGCGCTGCCTTTACCTATGGCACAGCTTAAATCTTCTGATTCCAGAGCGCTTTTGGAGCGGTGGTTCACCCCCCCGAGGGGCAGGAAGCCCTCGGTGGCAGGGCTTTGTGCTGGCTCCAAGCAGCCCCGTCTTTAGGCACTGCTATTTGCAGTCCCTCGGTGCACCTCGCTGTGCCGTGGGGAGGCTCCTGTAACCCAGATACTCTCAGCATCCTGATGGCAGCGACAACAGTTTGTGTCATCCATCGCTGTGTACCCAAAGCAGGGATGTCGCCCCAGTGCTGTGGGTATCACCTGGTTAGCAGGGTTATGGCTTGGTTATCCTATGTACCTCCTGCAGCTCTCGGGGCAGGTGGAGGAGTGATGCTCGGGGTTTGATGTGGGTGTCACCTGGTTGCCATTGTTAACACCTGGCTATCCGGGTACCACCTGCAGCTCCTGAGTATCACCTGGTTGCCATGGCTACCATCCTGCCATTATGGGTACCACCTGCAGCTCCTGGGGCGATGCTCTGGGGTTTGACATTGATGTTCCTCGCTGGGGACGTCCTGCCGTGCGGTGCCAGCTCCCACCAAGGGCTGCAAGGTGTGAGTGTTCGCTGAGCATCGCACGGAGCCCATCCGGCCCTCCACCCTGCCCTTGAACAGCTCGTCCTGCCCGGAGCGGTGTTTCTCCCCCAACCTCAGGGCAGGCTCGGGGCTGGGCGGGGAGGGGAAGGGGCCGGGGCTGTGGGCAGGGCCGAGGGAGATGACGCCGGGTGAAGGCTGCTGAGAGCCTGCCCAGCCCCGCCGCAGGCCGAGCGGGTGGCCGCGCACTCGGGCTCCGGCAGCATGGACGTGACCGTGGATCTGTACCTGGCCGTCCCGCTGCTCTTCACCGTCCTGGCCATCGTCCTCGCCTCCGTCTTTGTGAAGCTGCGGGGAGGCGAGGGGCAGCGAGCGGCGGAGCGGCAGCCGGAGCCGGGCAAAGCGGAGCCAGGCAGAGAAGAGCCGGGCAGAGAGGAGCCGGGCTCGGCCGCCGGGGGCGAAGCGGAGCCGCAGGGAGCGACCGAGGGGTCGGGGGTAGAAGGGAGCCGGGTGCCGGTGGAGGAGGTCGGGGCGGGCGGCGAGGGGAAGGAAAAGGAGGAGGAGAAGGAAGAGAAGAAGGAGGCGGCGGTGGCTGAGCAGAAATCCGCGGCTGAGCAGAAATCCTCGGCCGAGCGGAGCTCCGAGAGCATCCCTCGGCCGCCGCCCGCCGCCGAACACCGGGAGCAACAGCAGGAGGAAGAGGAGGAGGAAGAGAGCAAGGTAAGGGAAGGGAGGCTTGAGGGAAGGTGAATTGCGTGTGGGGGCTGCACGTCCTTTTCCCAGGAGCTGCTCCAGGTGCTGGGGGTGTGCGCTCTTTCTTTCCCCCCTCTTTTTGTGGATCGCTGCAAATCGCCCCCCTGCAGCACGAGGGTGCCCCAACTGCTGTCCTTGCAGCCCCAGGGAGGTCTCCCCCGTCCACCCCCCCCAGCATCCTACTGGCCTCCCACCCCGAGCTCTGACCCCTGCTTGAACTGGGGGGGGCTGCCTGGTAAATCCTCCTCCAGCTCCGGATCTTGTTTAAAAATAAAAGGGTGACCCAGCGGCCATGGAAGGAGTTCACCCTGCTGGCTTCCACGGGCTCTGTGCTAATGCCCTGTGCTGTGGGCCTGGGGACCCCCGAGGGGTTCAAACTGTGCTTCTCCTGGAGCCACCCCTTGTACCAGTGAGGGATGCAGGCAATAGGGTGACTGGGGAACCCAGGAGGGATGCACGGCATGCAGACGTGTTTGGGCTGGGGAGCGCAGCCTGGGGCCTGGCTGCCTGCTGGCTATTATTAGCAGCATTGCTAATCCTTGGTGACTGCATCCAGGCTGCTGGGCAGTGTGCAGACAGACAGACAGACAGCCATTGTCTTGGAAGGTATCGCTACTGACTCACTGGGGCGCAGTGGGTGAGTCCCAGTGGGTTGGCACTTCTGTGTCCCATGGTGATCCCCAGGGCAGTGCCTGTCCTGTGTGCTGGGACCTCACCCTCCTCCCACCTCTTTCCTCTCCCACTTCTTTCCCCGAGTCCCAGCACCATCCCTTGGCCATGGGGATGGCTCTCAAGCAGACCCCCATCGTCACAGCATCCCAAAAGTACTGGGAACATCTGTCCATCTCTGGGATGACTTATGGGATTTATCAGTGCTCTGTAGGGCTGGGGAGTCCCAGGACTGCCATTCACTGGCTGTATTCCAGCTGGGATCGCTCAGCAGCACCCAGGACATGCAGTTTCTCTGTTGTCTCATTAATGTGAGTTGGGAATGTTTCTCCATCCTCCTGGGTGCTCTTCAGTCCCATTTCCCTGAACAGACACCACTGCAACCTACTCCTCCTTCAGGAATGTGGCACTGCAGCTCTGTCTGCCCAAAGGTGACCATCCATATGGGATGCTTCTGTCCCCTACTGGTGCCCCAGTGAGCACAGCCCAGGGTGCCCACAGTGCCTGGAGGGCACTGTGCTCAGTGCAAGTTGTACCTTACACTGCAAAGCACGGATGGTGATGGGCTGACAGTTGGACTCAGTGATCTTTTCCAACCTCAGTGATTCCACAATACAGGACAAGGTTTTGTTTCCTTGGGAAGTGATTCCCAGCAGCAGGGCAAGGTGAGGTGCTTTGGCACCAAGCAGGTGTTACAGGTGCGGGTGGGAAGGAGTTTGGTCCAAGCAGTGAGAACTGCTCAGGCTGGAAATGAGCCCTGCCCTACTCGTGGCTGAGGGCTGCAGTCCTTTGATGTGACTCAGCAGAGGCTCAGAGCAGCATCGTGCTGCTGTAGGCTTGGAGCTTCTCAGCAGACCCAGTGCATCAGACAGCAGTGGGCTGTGCTCAGCACACCGAGGCCTTTCTCCTTTTCCCTTCTGTCTGCTCAGAAGGCTTCAGATTCTCTGCAGCCATTAAGCACTGAAGCAAGTGCTGATGGATGAAGCAGCGTCGGTGTGCTCAGTGCATCACCCTGCTGTCTGTGTTCCCTCCTGCTGCCTTTATGCTCCGTTCCCTGGGACCCACAAGGTCCCAACTCCTGCCCTGGTGGGCGAAGTGATGCTCTGTGTGCTGGGCAGGGCTGAAAGAGGGGGAATGAATCAGGGGAAGGAGTCCTCATTCCCGTTAGGTACTGGTGGTGGTTCCCTTGTGTCTGCTGGCTCCCATCACTGACAAAAAAATTAATTAGTTTGTTGCTGTCGGAGCTCATCCCCAGCTCGTTATGTGATGGATGCTGCTGCCCTAATGAGAAGCTGCAGGGTGGGAGCTGTGGCAGCTCAGTGTGGGTCCTGCCAGGAAGGAGAAGAAATCCCCAAATCTCTCATTAGCTCTTCTGCCTTACCCAAGGGCTGCTGCTCTGCCAAATTCTGCCCATCAGCTTCCTTTTTTCCCCCCTTTTTAAAGGCTTCTTCCTTCCCCTTTCCCTCCTGGCTTTTCTTTTTCTGTCTGGCTCCCCGCTGCCTTCCTCTTGCAAACTCTTGCATCAGGCTTGGATCAGAAGGCGCAGCCATAAATGGCAACGTGGGGCTGGGAGCTTCCAGGGCAATTTTCTCCCCCCTCTTTGCAGCCCAGGACCTTCCCATTTCCCTGCAGTTGGAATGGATTAGGGGCTCTGCTTGTCCCTGTCATACCCACGGGACAAGAGAAGTGGTGGGGGCCCAGCAGCCTCTCCTTGCATCCCGTTAGAGGAGGGAAACTTGTTGTGGGGATGGAGGAACTGCCTCTGCTTGGCCATAAATGAGCTGAAAACAGGGTGATGGGGAGCCCAGCCTATATTGCCCTATGACAGAGAGGAGGCTTTCCCACCTGGGAGATGCTGTAGGGCTGGAAGAGGGCTCATAGGGTGGGAAGGCCATGAGTGGGGCTTTTGGGGAGCACTGTGTTACTGCTCAGTGCCCCAAACCTCCCCAGG